CGAAACAACTTTTCGAAGCCTCCTTGTTCTTTTTTCAAGTTTTCATTCTCCTCTTTTTCCAAGTTTTCATTCTAAATCACTCTGATTCGGGGATTAAGTACGCACGCGAAAATCTTGTACATATGTAAAAAAATCTTGTACATTGTACATAACAACAGGCATATTGATAGCAGTATTTCAAGAAGTTTTCGATATTAGCATTGTTCTGGATCTCTGCTGCTTTTTGGTTATTTCCTAATTTAAAGTTCTCAAGGAATCTTGTACTCCTCCCATGCCTGGTCTCATGCTTCTTTCCCATGTTGATTTTATCTAATTTCCTTTCTTTCCTGAGATTCACGATGTGTATTGCATTTTTGAGGGATGGAGGGAATGTACTGCGATACTGGAAGAAAACCGTGAAAAATTTTAAGTTTCTGCTCACACGCTTTACTTGATTTTTCGGAACCTTTTTTTGTCTTCAGGCATCAGGGGTTTGTTTTGACACAGCTGCCGTTTTTCCCTACGATTCTCCTATTCTGCCGCTTTTTAAGGATTTTCTTTTCGAAACTTTTTGTAATTTGTTACCCGGGCATTTTTGGCAAATCCTTCCATTATTTGTTGTGAAAATCGTCGCTGATCGTGGTTCGCACGAGACGATAAGTAGAATATTCGAAAACAGCTGCTTACGGAATGACTGATGCATCTGTAAACACTTTCTGTTTTTTTTTGAGGACATGTCATTTTCACTTTTCAAGGCGCTTTGCTTAGTTTTCGCGATTTCTGTGCCATCCGGAATGTTTCTTGAAAAATGATTTCGTTATGTAGAGCATTAAAAGGCTTAAGCAAATTCATGAATGTTCAGTCTGCAGCTTCTTTCCCTCATACCTAACAATTCGACAGATATTCCTGTTTTTCTTGCATTTCTGAATTTGCCATTGAATTCTTTGAGGACTGTCGTGCTTTTTGCTGTAACTCTGCATCGGTTTCTTTATCGAAACCGTCGGTGCTTTCATTTTCAGCTCTTTATGTAAGAGCATGAATTGCTGCTAATTTCATTTGTGGGTTCTCTGCTCATACGAATAATGTTGAGTCTAACTCATTGTAATGTTCTGTTATACAAATTAGTCTTGTTCGTTACTTGTGGTCTAACATTGGATTTGCTACTCCGGCCGATCTTTCGATGACCCTTGTCTTTTTTTTTTCTTCCATTTTGATTTTTTCGATTTCTTTGATGGCTAATTTGGCGTATTTTTGGTTTCTTTGATGATGTAGATGTTCAGAATTTCATCCACTGCTGTCCAAAATTTTATCCCCGTCTCTCATAAAACAAAGGCCTGGCAACCATATCAAATGGAAGTTCCTGTAAATCGTTGCTGCTGCACCTGCTGATTGGCCTGGTGATGATACTGCCATGTTCAGGGATTTTCGATCCTCTTTTTCTTTCGGTAGAGAGGAGGTTGTGGGCACAGTGTTTGGATGAGACGTGTAGACGCGTATAAGAGCAGAAATAAATTATCTGTAGTTGAGATGCCTTTGTCTTTTTTCTCTATTTTTGTTCTGGATTCGCCATTTTGCCGTAATATCATCACTGATTTCTAAATGTTACTGTTCTTTGCTTCGCAGTGCTGATTTTAATTTCTCTCTCATTGGATTTTTGATCCTGGAAGTCCGAGAAAATAGATACCTGTATTTAGCCCGTGTTTTAATAACGTGAAGGTCTTAATAGCAGGTAGTGTTGCTTGATAGCTGCAATGTCTTGTATTCACTGGAATATCTTGATGAAGCAGTAATCTCAGC